CCAGGTCACAGACCCAAAAGACGGAAAAATCAGGACCTGTCAGAACCTCCTAAAGTAAGGCTGTAATACGTTTTTTTTTTTTGTGCTGATCACAAATTTCATGTTAGTTTGGATCATAGATAATGTCTTCATGCGTTTAGACCATGTCGGGGCAGGTCAGGTCAGATCAACCAGTAGGGGTACTTATGGGCGTCCGTATAGCAGGTGTCCACTACCACTGGCAGCTACGTAACATGATACGAAGGCATCAAAACTACTTCGTAAATGTTCAAATGGCTGCAAAATGCTAAATTCAAAATCAGCTAAACGAAACTATCCTAGAAACATGTTAAACTCGGAAAAGTGCACCGAGGTCATCAAAGGTCAATGACCTGACTTGACCGTAAGGTGACATTGGCATCCGTCCTAATGCGTGGGAGCAACATCATATCACATGTTTGAGCGTTTTAAACCACGAAAAGACTATGAAAGCGCGGATAATGTGAGCCGACATACGCCGAATCGCTATTCCGGCCAAACATGGCCTCCAACATGGCCAAACATATGGTGCGTTCGGAGAGGCACATTCCACGTGGAATCCGTTGAATATTCCATGCGCGCGGAATATTTCCGGAGATTAGCCGTTCAGAGAGATACGCCTCCGAACGCGGCACGGGGAATATTCCCGGGGACGGTGAATATTCCATGCTCTCCGAACGCACGGATAGTCTCGAGAAATAGGCCACAAGTCAAAGTTCACTTGGGTCAGGGTCATGAAATTTTCAGACTTTGTCACCATGAGGGTACTAAAGTTTCGTCGCGATCGGCTTCATGATACCTTACACGATAACTTCACACGTCGATCGAGAGTTAAAGCATGGATGAAGGAGAACCAGGGGATGAAGGTTCTTTCATCCATGGTTAAAGTGTGCAATAAGAACTTCTTGGGTGAAGACAAGACCAACACTTTTATCAAGCTCACAGATTTTTAATGATACGGTATTTTCTCTCTACCTACTACGCCCTTCTCACATTCATTTTTCTTAAGTGTTTTTGGGGACAAAAAATATATGTTGTTCCCCTTTCAGGCTTGGGGGCATGACCCCGTGGCCCCCCTGGATCCGCTAGGCCGAAACTAACTAGGTCGTTTTCAAACGGTCTGATATTTCAGGTCATAGTTTGCAAACGGCCGGTGTTTTCAGGTAGTTTCATATGGCCTGACTGGGCCAGGCCGTTTGCAAACGGACCGAATTTTCATACGGCCTGTAACATATATTCAGATTTCGACATCTGTCGTAGCATCAAATGCTGATGTGGCGCACTCAAAAGCCGGAAGTGGTCCTTGGATGCCGTAAGGACCCTTTTAAGAAATAAGTGACCCGACTGACCCTTAGAGATTGGCCTGAGCTGTGACCGAAATAAGTCTTTTACCGTTTCGCAGGAAGGGACAAAAAGGTCCCTCATATGCTTCTTGTACAATTACGAAACAAAACAAGCTTTTTTTCAACGAAAACTCAGGGAGTTTTCCTAAAAAATTTATTGCGCATATTCCGTGAATGAAAAGTTGCCGGGTCATGTCAGGTCAGGCTGCCACAGCAAGTTTGTTAACTTGACAGCTCAATCGATATTTATGCAATAAGACCTGCTCGGGTGACGATAAGACATGACGACACTTTATGAAGGAAGCTAGTAAACCCGGTAGTTTCTCCATAGGCGCAGGAACCAGGGGGACGGGGCAGTGGTGGCAGCTTGCCCCCCCCCCCCCAACTCTGGGGCCGTGCGGGCGGTGCCCCCACAACTTTCAGACAGAATACCGCTCCTTTTTGCAAATGTTTTCTTTTTTTTTGTTGAAAAAGCCAAGGGATGAAAAATAAGTGGCCTAAAACCGGCGACAAAACTATATTTGGGGGATCCTAGGTTGATCTCTATCATGGTGTGACCTCCCCCCCCCCGTCTAACCCCTGGGTTTCTCTACGCTATTGAATCACGCTGCGGATTCTAGTAAGTATCTACTACACAACCTTCTCACATTAAGTTTTCTTCGAGCGTTTTGGGGGGCCAAAAGATTGTTGGCCCCCTCTTTCAGGCTTTTTGGGCCCATGGCCCCGGTGGCCCCCTTGAATCCGCCAGTGGGGGCGGTGCCCCCACAACTTTCAAACGGAATACCGTCCTTCTTTGCAATTGTTTTCTTTTTTTGTTGTTGAAAAAGCCAAGGGATGAAAAATAAGTGGCCTAAAACCGGTGAGAAAACTAGATTTGGGGGGACCCTAGGTTGATCTCTATTATGGTGTGCTCCCCCAGTCTGAAAGTAGTTCCCGCGCCCCTGACTTTCTCTACGCTATTGAATCACGCTGCTGATTATGGTATCTACTACGCAACCTTCTCACATTAATTTTTCTTCAAGCGTTTTGGGGGGCCAAAAGATATGTTGGCCCCCTCTTTCAGGCTTTTGGGGGGCCATGGCCCCGGTGGCCCCCCTGGATCCGCCAGTGGGGGCGGTGCCCCCACAACTTTCAGACGGAATACCGTCCTTTTTTGCAACTGTTTTTTTTTTTTTGTTGAAAAAGCCAAGGGATGAAAAATAAGTGGCCTAAAACCGGTGAGAAAACTAGATTTGGGGGGACCCTAGGTTGATCTCTATTATGGTGTGCTCCCCCAGTCTGAAAGTAGTTCCCGCGCCCCTGACTTTCTCTACGCTATTGAATCACGCTGCTGATTATGGTATCTACTACGCAACCTTCTCACATTAATTTTTCTTCAAGCGTTTTGGGGGGCCAAAAGATATGTTGGCCCCCTCTTTCAGGCTTTTGGGGGGCCATGGCCCCGGTGGCCCCCCTGGATCCGCCAGTGGGGGCGGTGCCCCCACAATTTTCAGACGGAATACCGTCCTTTTTTGCAACTGTTTCTTTTTTTGTTGAAAAAGCCAAGGGATGAAAAATAAGTGGCCTAAAACCGGTGAGAAAACTAGATTTGGGGGGACCCTAGGTTGATCTCTATTATGGTGTGCTCCCCCAGTCTGAAAGTACGTGAAAGTACGTGAAAAGAAGTACGTGAAAGACGTAGTTCCCGCGCCCCTGACTTTCTCTACGCTATTGAATCACGCTGCTGATTCTAGTAGGTATCTACTACGCAACCTTCTCACATTAATTTTTCTCCAAGCGTTTTGGGGGGGGGGGCCAAAAGATATGTTGGCCCCCCCTTTCAGGCTTTTGGGGGGGGCCATGGCCCCGGTGGCCCCCCTGGATCCGCCAGTGGGTCAAGGGCCCCAAGGCATTGGATCGGTTTTTGGTGAATAACTTTGCAAAAAAAGGTCGCATTATCGTCATTTCGATACAATCGTGTTTTCTGTTCAGTGTTCTCAGACGCGTCGATTTATATGCTTTTTTGCTTAGGTGAAGCAATTTAGGATGTTTAGGTCAATGTCATGTTAGGGCAACACAGGTCACGAAGCTGTTGAAAGGAGGACATGCTGCATAACATTTGATTCGGTAAGTCTTGCAGAGTCCATTGATGGCTGTCCCGACTGGCTAGCTCATTTTGATCGGGAGTTATTGACGAAGCACTCCGATTGACGAGCACTCCGACACGCAAGGTGAACAATGCAAAAGTGAAGCATTAAACCTTGCCAAGAATGTATGAAGTCATGATTTCATGTGCGTGAGGTATAGTTTTAGCTCATTTCCGACGCCAAATTAACAGTTTCCATATTTTCCCATTATGCTTATATCATGACACTAAGTGCATTATGGATTTGCATCATTTATAACCAACAACCGTGCAGTCTGCAGAGGTTTACTTAAGACGTCATAGTTAAGTGACCTGACATGAAAACGTGGTTGATTTCAAATGATCCGGCTTGAATCAAATGTAAGGCATATGAAATGTCAGCCTTCTATCATCAGTGTGCTTTGAGCTACCGCAAACAAAAAATACATGGTGGCGGCATCCACCCCTCCTTCTCGGCCGGCGAGGGTTAAAGCTCGCTTCGAATTATTGCAGATAATGATGCGACCGAAAACAAAGCATTTATCTGTGTCTAGAACGGCCGCTGACTTGTTGGACACGATCCCCATTCTTAATTTGCTAGATGGGAATAAAATACTCGGCTATGATACATATATACCCCTCGATTTGCCCTCGCGCAAAGTCAATTCTAATCATCACTGTCGCTTTTTTTATCCGAGATGATGTCGCCACTAAACGGGTTGTTTTGTTTGCTTGCTTGCGTTGAATGGTCATTACGGATTATTGAAGGATTATGATATAATAGGAATGGGGCAAGGGAGGATATGCACTGCAGTGCAGGTGTTTAATTTAGATCACAAAGGCATCGTTTCCGGCATCGTGCAGAGTCACTATATTCCCCTCCTCTGCACTGCGGCATCTCTGCGCCCCACACACGGCGTCCTCACTCCACGGCCGGCCGCCGCCAACTGACCCACTCGCCGGGCGCCGCGACCTGACCCGTGTCACTGCCGTGGCCTGCGCAATAGAGTCGGGGCTGGAATCCGGGGGTTCGGCCGGCCGGCCGCCTCTGGAGCGGGGGACTTTTTTAGTAGACCTACTGTACATCGTCGAAGAACATGTTCCATGATAGGTGGGAGGTAAGACTAGCAACACAATACCGAAATCAAGGTGTAAAAGCTCACAAGACCCATAGCCAACGCAAGCTATTGGGTATTGGTCATTTGGGTCATAACATGACCTGAAGAACAAGGTCATATGTCCGAAACCAAAAACCACAGAAACTTGAAATTTTCAGTGGACGCCAAGAGAGGATAGAGAAGAGGCTATGCGTAACATCAGGCTTCTAGCTTTTGCAGAGCAGAAAAAAAACTGCCGGGGGGTGGCAGCCCTCCCCCTCCCATGTGCGGGCGAGGGTCAAGCGGTTTAAAAAGATACTGCAGAAAAAACGAGTGTGCAACATTAAACGAAAGACGAGACCAAAGGAGTGCCATCGAAATTTACAACTTTGCGCAAGCTCGGGGGAAACTAGTTCCGGGAAGTGGCAAAAAATTGAGCTCCGCTTCAACTGTATTCGCTCAAATTGTCTCCATTGACCACAATACATTCGCTCAAATGGTCTCCCATTGACAATACATTCGCTCATATGGTCTCCATTGACCACAATACACTCGCTCAAATGGTCTCCATTGGCCACAATACACTCGCTGAAATGGTCTCCATTGACCACAATACATTAACATTCGCTGCTGAATTTAGTGTTCACTATGGTTGATATAATCGCTGTAATTAAATTCGCTAAAATGACAATCGCTCACAAAATCCATCTGTGTCTATCTCTCTGTCTCTCTGTCTCTGTCTTTCTGTGTCTCTGTCTTTCTGTGTCTGTCTCTCTGTCTCTCTGTCTCTGTCTCAGTCTCTCTGTCTCTGTCTGTCTGTCTGTCTGGCTGGCTGGCTGTCTGTCTGTCTCTCTCTCCCTATCACTCACTCTCTCTCTCTCTCTCTCTCTCTCTCTCTCTCTCTCTCTCCCTATCTCTCTCTCTCTCTCCTTCCCTCCCTCCCTCTCACGGGGTTGCGGCGTCCAGTGATACCCGGACCGCTCGCGGGACGTCCCTTTCGTGGCGAGGATCAGATGAGTGGCGTGCTAGCTTCTCAGTTCACGTCACGATCAGCTGTGGTTGCTGCGTACGTCCTCGTCGTCTTGGCTGGGCCGCTGCTGCTGTTGCCGTACTCTGTACAGGCTGTACGTACAGTTGAGCTTACCGCGCAGCTGCTGACGAGGGATGAGCTCCTCCAGAGGCTCCACGCCCTGGCGGCGCATTCGGTCCCGTACCTGCCGCAGTGGACCATGTCGCAGTTAATAATCGCAAGCTGTTGTTTCAAAAGACAAAATACTAACGAAAGGGTTTGCCACTCGGTTAGGAATAGAAAGAGAGAGAGAGAGAGAGAGAGAGAGAGAGAGAGAGAGAGAGAGAGAGAGAGAGAGAGAGAGAGAGAGAGATACAGATACAGAGACAGAGACAGAGACAGAGACAGAGACAGAGACAGAGACAGAGACAGAGACAGAGACAGAGACAGAGACAGAGACAGAAGAGACAGAGACAGAGACAGAGACAGAGACAGAGACAGAGACAGAGAGAGAGACAGAGAGAGAGAGAGAGAGAGAGAGAGAGAGAGAGAGAGAGAGAGAGAGAGAGAGAGAGAGAGAGAGAGAGAGAGAGAGAGAGAGAGAGAGAGAGAGAGAGAGAGAGAGAGAGAGAGAGAGAGAGAGAGAGAGAGAGAGAGAGAGAGAGAGAGAGAGAGAGAGAGACTTCTTTTATTTAACCCGCGCCCCAGTGGCGGTCTCAGCCAACTTCACCATAGTGTAGGGGGCATATGTTACCACCCACCTCTAACTAAAAAACTAAGAGGGCTAGAAAGACGCGGTAAAATCAGTTGATAGCTCTCAATGTGTACGCTTGAAAGTATTTCAGTCATTTTTCATATTAGAGCAGAATTGGGGTCACCAGAGGTCATTAAAGGTCAAAACTTGCCAAATGTCATTATATTTTTTTCAGAAAACATGCCGTTATCTCAGGAACCATGATAGCTAGAAAAACGCATGGAAAAGCAGTCGATAGTTTTGAACTCTTCTTTTGATAAATTCAGATCAAATTTGACCTTAGGTCAACGGTTAAGCCTCCATAGGTCAAATATTGTGAAAATAGCTGTTTTTGGATAACATTTTTTTCCACTCTTGAACCAGCAAAGATGAAAAGTTGGCAATGGCCCTATCGTGTTTCTCTCCTTCAGTTTCTTCGAAAAATATATTTTTTACCTAGAAAGGTAAAGGTCAAATTTTTACCTCACGTCAAGGTCACGTGGTGACCCAAATTGGTCATGTTGCATGCCATCCGATGCGTCTCGACAAGAGAAGCCATCCCCAGCGTTTTATCTCTTTCCAATCGAGAGTTATTGGCAAAAATATGTTTGTAGCCTCAAATGTGTGAGAGACGGGCGAGTGTGAGAGTCGTTACGCGGCGGCAATGAAGTTGAACGAAAGCTACATGAAGACTAGTTGAAAGCATCACAACCAGAACCTTACGTGTTCTGAGCATTTGCTATATCCCCAACGTGATGTGCTATCTGCCATTGCTGTTCTATTGAGCGGCTTATTAACCCGCGCTCGGCTGGGGGTCCTGGATTTCCACGCCCTGCTGGGGGAGAGGGGGGGGGTGTTCGAACACCCCCCCCCCCCTTGTAACTCGGCTCCTGGGCGACGTAGCGATACGCGGAAGGCGGCGTTCGAAAGAACGTCAAAAATAATGACGAAATCACTTTGGTCAATTTTTTGGTCAGGTCAAAGGTCAGGTCACCAGAGGTCATTGAAGGTAAAATTTCGCCGATTTCCAGGTCGAATGTCGAAAATTTCCAAGAAGCCAACGCATAACTCGGGAACCAATAGAGCTACAGCGCCGCGGAAAAGCGCATTCGATAGCCCTAATAACGCCCTTTCTGAGTAATACTCTCAGATTTGACCTAACGTCAATGGTTTTGCCTGCAGGGGGCAAAAACTGCAAAAATAGCCGATTTTTTCGGAAAGTTTTTCTGCAATAACTTTTGATCCAAGCCTTGTACGAGCTTACTTTCACCGGCATCGCGTTCCTCTCGTCAAGACGCATCGAATGAACTATAACTTGACCTTGAAAGGTCAACTTGAAAATTTGACCTCAGGTCAAGGTCATGACCTGACCGGAAAGGGTCATGTTGCATATCAGTCGATCCGTATCGTCGAGCTGAACACATCTACGGCGTTTTCATCTCTCTAGCATGCCTCTATCAAAAGTTATTTGCGAAAAACTGTTAGATACCATTCGTGACCTAAGATGACCTCAGGGCATAAACAAGGGTCACGGACACCATTTTCATGTTAGGTGTGTCTAAACCACTTGTAATTCGGTGTTTGGGAGTATTTATAATGTCTTTCGTCCAAAAGAGGCGCATTTCAATTTTCTCCCATTGACTTATAATGGGGAGGTCGCAAAATTGACCTGACCTTAGGTCATCGATATCAAAATTCTGAGATATACATTTGGTACATGCTATTGCTCTTAGCAATCGCTGAAAGTTTCAAAGCGATCGGTCACTCGGTGTAGCTATGGCAGACATTGAAACTTGTTATGAGGTGAGGTCACTTCAAGTGACCTGGTGACCTGACCTTGATGAACGACCTTGGTCTGAAATTTTCACAACATGTGTAGAATTGATGTATTATAAGGTGTACAAAAAACGGCGGCGCGGAGCGCCGCCGTTTTTGAGATATTCGCGAAAAACCACAAGGGGGGGGGGGGGTGTTCAAACACCCCCCCAGCAGGGCGCGGGTTAACCCTCGCATGTGTAGGGGGGGTCGGATGGACCCCCCATGGTTTTTCGCGAATAACTCGCGTAAAAGGCGGCCGATTGCGACGAAACTTTCCGTACCCTCGCATTAATCAATTTTACACCTACCCTGAAAATTTCATGACCCTGACCCAAATGACCTTTGACCTGTGACCTTTTTTCCGAGACCATGTTTGGCCGGAATCGCGATTCCGCGTATGTCGGCTCGCATTAGCCGCGCGTTTGCAAGCTTTTCGTGGTTTCAAACGTTCAAACATGTGATTTGATGTTGCTCCCATGCATTAGGGTGGGTGTCAAGGTCACCTGAAGGTCAGGTCAGGTCATTGACCTTTGGTGACCTCGGTTCACTTTTTCGAGTTTAACATGTTTCTAGGCTAGTTTTTGGAGCTGAATTCGAATTTAGCAGCCATTTGAACATATACGAAGTAGTTTTGGTGACTTCGTAATATGTTACGAAGCTGTCAGAGGCGGTTGACACGTACTATGAATATCCGTCACGACGCCTACTGGTTGACCTGACCTGACCTGACCCGACCTGGTCTAAATGCTTAAATACATCATCTGTGATCAAAACTAACACGATATTCGTGATCAGCGTCCCGAAAACCCCTTAGCAGCCACACTTTACGACTTTCTAACAGTTCGCGATTTTCCCGACTTTGTGTCATTGACCTGACCTGGAAGGTCAACCAATGACCTAGGACCTTAAAATTGGGTATCATCGGCTTCCTCTCGTCACGGGCAACACGCTCGATTTTTCCGCAAAGCTCTAGCTGGATCAGGGGCCAAACGGCAAGGGGGTCCAACCGACCCCCCCTACACATTAGAAGCTGGCAAACGCCGCACACATGCGAGGGTTAAATCATGCCACTGTGCCGAACGGTCTAGTCTATTCATTGTTGACACCCTTAGTTAAACATAAGAATGACGTGCTTAATGATAAACTAAACTATAGGGCAATTGCCCTTTCTACGACTTTGTCCAAAGTTCTAGAACTTATTCTTGTAGAAAGACTACAGCCTTTCTTAAAAACTAGTGATGCCCAGTTTGGGTTTAAGCCACTGGCGCCCCTCTAAAGCACCCGCATTCTTCTCAAGATTACAGTCGCCCTATCCGAGATCAATAGCACCCTCAACTCTCAAGAGCCACTAGCGTCCCCTCCCCCTCCCCCTGAGACTGAAGTCGTCCCACTTGAGACTTAAGTCCGGCGCGCTTCTGAAGATCACAGTCGTCCTCATCCGAGGTCGCTGGCGGCCCTCAAAAGTCACTGGCGCCCATCTAAACGGAGATCACAGCTGCCCCATCTTAAAATCGATAGCAACCCTCTGAAACCAATGGCGCCCTTCTAGAGTAGGGGAGAGTGGGGTAATTTGGCCGGTGCACGGAGAAAAATAATTACTCCCCCCGGGAATCACGATCCCCTATTAGGGAATCAACTGACACCCATGGTTTAATCCGATTCTGAAAAACAGTGTCCATACACCGTTTTTTAGTGTAAATTGATCTCGGTCAGAATCACATACCCAAGGGTCATTTGACTCCCAAAATTTTGACTCCCATTTTAGGTGTCGTGTCAAAAGATCCTGCACGGTGTCAGCGTAAAATAACACATCTAAGCGTTTTTGACGCTATCATGAAGAGTTTATATCCTATAGGAGTCATTTCACACAGTTGAGCGTTTTCGCAATCCGTGACTCCCTTATTAGGTGTAATTTGATCCTCAGTGGTGTCATAATATTCCGTTCAAATGACTTATTGAGTGTAATTTGACCCTCGGTAGTGTCATAATATTCCGGTGTCATTTGAGCCCCATTGGGTTCAAATGACACCGGAATATTATGGCACCACTGAGGTTCAAATTACACCTAATAAGCGAGTCACGGATTACGAAAACGCTCAACTGAGTGAAATGACACCCATAGGGTTCAAAAACTCCACATGATAGTATCAAAAAACACTTAATTATTACAGAAATTGTTTTGACGTCACTGGTGGTATACCACCATCTCTTGACTCTGCAGTGTTGGGAACCAACACTGCAGAGTCAAGAGATTTTCGGTGAATCAGACTCCGAATCCAGCTCCGGCTTCCAATATCGACTCCGACTCCGACTACGGCCAGAACTGTCGTTTCCAACCGACTCCGACTACGGCCAGAACTGTCGAATCCAACGGACTCCGACTCTGACTCCGTACCTAACCCTGGTGTAGGTTCAGTGATTTGATTTTGAATCAATGCCCCGAGTGACGTCATGTGTGAGCTAGCCATGGCTGGTCCGCTACGAAGATGAAATAGGCAATAGCCCAATCAGCAGGCTGCACTGTCAATTTGCGGACGAAGATTTGCGGAAAAAATGCGAGACGAAGAAATGCGGAGACGAAGAAATGTGCGGACGAAGAAATGCGAGACGAAAAAAATACGGAGACGAAGAGATGCGAGACGAAGACATGCAAG